CCACTTTAATCAGAATATTCAATAAGATTTAATCATCGTAATTCTCCATTCAACAATAATCATCAATAAATAATAATCGTCATAATATTCAATAACAAATAGCGGTCTAGCATTGAATGTTAACACCCTAACTTACCGTCATGCATCATATAACATTTTATTTTTTAAAAACATCATTTTTATTGCGAAAAATCATATTTATGTTGATCATAATTGATTGGTATCAAAAATAGGATTTTAGAGCTCAAAAATAACATTTTAAAAAATATTTTCAGAGCAAACAGATCGGAGGATTGAACCACCGTAGAGAAACTTCCCTAGGTGATCGATCCAGTGGGGTGGATCGATCCACCCTGCTGGTTTTTTATCACTGTTCATCTTCTTCTTTGTTTCGGGCCCAATTTCAAAAATACCATTTTAAGTTACCAAACTTCAATTAAACTATATAGAAATATTTTCCAAGGTTCATAGATCATTTTGGTATCATTAGTTCATAGTTTTAATATCAAATTCAATGTTTATGATTCTTAGTTCTTCAAGCATGTCAAAGACAAAACTCAACCAAATGATTATTTATGAACGTAGAAACGACTTATATGAACATTTTACTCATTAGATATATCTACGAGCTTACCACGAAGTTTATCGGGGTTTTGGAAATTTTCTGGCAAAACTTCTGACGATGATAACTCTCCGCTCCGGCGACTTCACACCAGAATGACAACACCACTACACTCCTCTCTCAGCAAGGAACAAGATTGAAGAAGAAATGAGATGTTTTGGTGAAGAATTGAAGGAGGAGGCTCTCCTTATATAGCAAGGGGAAGGAGACACCAGCTTGCCACTTCCGTGATTCTTCGATCGATTGTATTCGGCGGTGATTGCACAGGGCGCCATTTGGTGGGTAATTCCTGATTGGGACTCATTTTTAGTCCAAGTCGGGGGACACTTTTTGGTCTAACTTTCTTTGAATCAAAATCCGATTGAATCGTTGCAGTCAGATAGTCAAACTCTACACAATGGTATAAATTTCATTATTTATTGACGAACTTTATAATTGACTTATTTTTGAGTCCTCAGTTGTTAATTAATTATCAATTAATTAATTCTGATAGGCCTATTTTCGGGGCATTACAGGACACCACCACTCGCTGTTGTTAATATGTTGTTTGAAGATGTCTTTGTACTGATTATACACTAGTCTCCTGGGGATTAGTTTGTGAAGCTCGCCACTGTTCTCTGTTCAATTTTGAATATGGGTGAGACAATATGGTTGTTCTTGTCTATCTGGCCGATATTCTTCCTGTAGGTAACAATAACATACATTGTTGAATTGTTAGTTCCAGGTATTGGTTGTTCTTTTGGAAAAAAATGAAACTCATATCTTTATGAATTTTACTAGCTAGAAATTTTTATTTGTAAGGAGAGATTTTTTTATTTTTACTTTTTAGAGTTGTTTTTAGGGGTGACATAAATGCTATAGTACATTGTGATGGGATCAGTAAGACATGTGCATGGAAATCTGAATTTGCAATATGCAAACAAGACTTAAATATTGGGGTTTATTTATTATAAATCAGCTGGTATTTATCTTACTTGTAGATCAAGATTAAGAAGTTGTTTCAAGACAACTTCTATGTACATATTCCTACTAGGAGTGGGTTGAATAGATCCATATAAACCCGACAAATCCCTGAGATTTCTTAAAGCGGTTCTGATGGAAAAAATGCAGAATAGATGTTAATCTAGTGCGTGCTCGTCACATCCCAAATCTATCCCATTTATGAAAAAGTTACGATCTGCATTAAGAAGGAGCTCTTAAACGTAAAATATAGTGTCCATAAGACGAACCTGAGTTGAACGAGAGGGCTCCTAACATGTTTCATTTGTGGGTGAGATCTCAGTGAAGATGTGATAGACAAAGCAGATTGTACAACGTACGTGTTAGAAATCTTTGATTAAAGATTTTGTCATAAAATTCAACTAAATGTATCTCATCATGTTGGTATGAACTAGTATAATATAAATTTAATGATTTAATAAAGGGTTATTACATGAACGTGGGCCATGTAAGATTGCGTAAACATATTTAGTGTCGTTCTTTATGCTTTCTATAGTTACAACATTTCACTAGTCGATGTTGTTATGTGTGTCATTAATTAAATGTCATAAAAGACAAGGTCTTGTCCGTAGTGATAGATAGTTCTTTGCAGGTGGACTTATGTTTCCCAAGCTATAAGCTATGAACGAAAGAAAAAGTGATGCTTATATAGTCTCTAGATCCACATTTGAAATGTATATTTTCTTGTACTTTTCATTAGCTTGCATGTGCATATTTTTTTTCTTTGCAAAAGGTCCACGCTATAAATACACTAAGATCCATAAAATGAGTTTACCTTTGTCCCTCGGAAAAAATTGCCTAAAAAAGTATATTACCAAACACTATAGTAAGTTTTAATGAAATGGAACTTTTTTTCTGAATGCAATAAAAAAGTGAAATTTGCAGTGAATAGGACTAAAATATAAGTCATTTCCCAATGGAGGACTTAAAGTTTTTTATTCCCTAAATAAGACTTAATAATGATTAGTGGGAAGAATAATGTCCAAGTGATGCTAGACATTTAGGGCCTGTTCTTTAGGGCTTGAACTCTTAACTTCCCGTTTCTTCTAGTTCCTTCCAGTTTTTTCCAGTTCTTTCCAGTTTCTTCCAGTTTTTTCCAGTTTCTTCCAGTTCCTTCCAGTTCTTTCCAGTTTCTTCCAACTTTTTTCATTTTCTTCAAATTCTTTCTACTCCTCAACCAATTACTCTAAAAATGATATATTTCAATGTGATTATTATTATTATTATTACAACTGTTATATTAATAACTGTAGTTTATAAATTATTATTTTGATCTCACTATTTTTACGATTCTCACTTATTATTTTTTTCTTCAATTTTTTAATATGAATAAGACATTTTTTTGTATATTAGTCTACATGATAAAACAAGAAAACATCAATATGTTAAATTATACTAAAAATTTTTGGATAAAAGAGTTACATTGAATGTAAACAAAAAAGTTCTATGTCTTAATTCCAAAAATAAGAATTCAATGAAAATAAAATGTCAATCATGAAAGAAACAATAGGTTTGATTATGTGACATGTATGATATTTAAAATAAAATGTTTTAATATATAAATTATAATTACAAATACATTATTTATATTAAATACTGCATAAATAAATTGAGGTGCAATATAACTACATAGCCTATTTAAAATTTAATATTTTTATATTTATGCTAACTTTATATTATAATTATTTTTTGTAAAAGTAGTTTTTTGTATTTAAAAAATAACAATACTTTTTTTTATATCTTAAAGACATTTACTAAGATAACGTGATGATGATGATGATTATGTTGATGATTATAATGATGAAGATGAATATATTATGATGATGATGATAATAATTTATAACAACAAGAATTTAAAATAAATATTTTTAATTTTTTTTAGGTTTTTCAGTTTTTTCCAGTTCCTTCCGGTTCTTCAAGTTCCTTCCAGTTTCTTCTAGTTTCTTCCAACTTTTTTCATTTTCTTCAAATTCTTTCTACTCCTTGCTCAACCAATTACTCTAAAAATGATATATTTCAATGTGATTATTATTATTATTATTATTATTATTATTATTATTACAACTGTTATATTAACAACTGTAGTTTATAAATTATTTTTTTTCATCTCACTATTTTTACAATTCACACTTATTATTTTTTTCTTCAATTTTTTAGTATGAATAAGACATTTTTTTGTATATTAGTCTACATGATAAAACAAGAAAACATCAATATGTTAAATTATACTAAAAAATTTTGGATAAAAGAGTTACATTGAATGTAAACAAAAAAGTTATATGTCTTAATTCCAAAAAAAGGAATTCAATGAAAATAAAATGTCAATCATGAAAGAAATAATAGGTTTGATTATGTGACATGTATGATATTTAAAATAAAATGTTTTAATATATAAATTATAATTACAAATACATTATTTATATTAAATACCGCATAAATAAATTGAGGTTCAATATAACTACACAGCCTATTTAAAATTTAATATTTTTATATTTATGCTAACTTTATATTATAATTATTTTTTGTAAAAGTAGTTTTTTGTATTTAAAAAATAACAATACTTTTTTATATCTTAAAGACATTTACTAAGATAAGGTGATGATGATGATTATGTTGATGATTATGATGATGATGATGATTATATTATGATGATGATGATGATCATAATAATAATAATAATTTATAACAACAAGAATTTAAAATAAATATTTTTAAATTTTTTTTAGGTTTTCCAGTTTCTTCCAGTTCCTTCCAGTTTTTTCCAGTTTCTTCCAACATCCGGCTCTTTTTTTACAATCCTAAAGAACAGGCCCTTAGTTGAATAATGACTAATATATAATGACCAGTGGTCCTACGTTAGGAAATAAAAACATATGGTCCTATATTGAGAAATGCATTATGTTTTAGTCTTATTTAGGTAAATTACCCCTGAGATAAATTTTTAATAATAAAAACTAATTTTGAAAATAAAAAGATTAAGTGTTATGGGGTACTATTAAACAATTTTTCAAAACAATAAAGTTGAACACTAAAATATTCTTGCTAGTCTTTATACATGGATAAAATTCATCATTAAAAGTCTCCCAGAATCAGCCAAAAAGTCATCGGAAAAGAGGTAAATTGAACCTAGAACACAAATTACTAACAAAGAATGGAATTTAGATCGCAAAATTATCAAGAATCGAACTCATATATTTTGCCACCTACACAACGTCGACTTCAGCGCTAGTCCTTAAACATTATTCCTTAAATTAGAGGAGGTGCCGGCGTATATATTCCATCAAAGAGTTGGCAGGGGATATAAATTGCGTTTCTTCTCCCTCTTCTTTCTAGACTAGTAGATGTAGATGTAGATTGACATTCTCTATGATGCGAATGCGATTTACAGTTTTATTACTCCCTATTTATTTATGAAAAAGAAAATATTTATACACAAAAGCATGGCAAAAACCCCATAAACACGAACAAATCCAGCTGTATTCTCGAGTATAAAAGCTCCCCACTGTTTGCGGATTCAACCTTGTGTTTTTCCCTTTTCATTTTTCTCCCGAGAGAGAAAAAAAATATAAAAAAAATACACAGATAGAGGGGAAAAGGGGCCATGGCCATGGCCTTCTTCGATTTGCAGAGACTAAATACAAAGGGGGACTTCTTTTCTTGAAGCTCTGAATTTCATATTTGTTGATTTTTATATATAAAGTATGTATATATTGTATATCTACACATATAGATACGGAGGGGAGTATATACGGATGCTATACACATCGAAACAGGGAAAAAACAGTTGCACAGTTTTGGTAACGCCATAATTCCAATCAAGTCGTCTTCTTTACTTCTACTTATCCAATCCGTAAGTTACCTTAAATCATTAATCTTTAAATTCTCAAAGCCTTTTTTGTTAGTATGCCGCTTTTTGGCTATGGAATAGTGATGGGGCTTTCTTTAAATCGATCTGTTTTAGTTGGCCGTGTATGAAAAAACAATGCAAGATTTCATCTTGGCATCTGTCTGATCTGAACTCTGGAGATCTGGGTTGGGCAAAAGATTGAATCTTTTTTCTTATTTATTTATGAATTCTTGCCTGCAGATTCGATTGAGCCTATTTTAGGTGTGCTTGAATCTGGGTAGCTCTTAGTTCCTATAAAGTTTGATTCTTGCTGAAAGATTGGATGATTTTAAGTTGTCAGCTGATCTGTATTCTCCTTCGATTTGGGGATCAATTATTTGCTTTCCCTAATTAGTTTAATGATTTGTTCTAAACTTGTATATATATATATATATATATATATATATATATATATATATATATATATATATATATATATATATATATATATATATATATATATATATATATATATATATATATATATATATATATATATATATATATATATATATATATATCTGTGTGCTTCTGCAAATTTTTGCTTATTAAACATTAGGTAATATTACTGGAATCAATCAACTTCTTGATTGGGTACACATTGCTTTGCTGGGAATCAATAATTTTTGCCCCACATATTATCTCTTTTGTTATTCTATCTGTCACATTTGTATTGTATTTGTTTTTTTATTCTGGGTTTTGTTTTTTTACAAAGCTGTTTCTTCTGCAGGAAACTTTCCAGGTGAAGAGCAGAACCATCTGTACAAGGATGATATAAGTTTATAGACAGAGATGTTAGAAGAACGGCCTTGTTCGGTATCAAGAAGTTACCGAAGAGAGCGCGGAAGTAGGTGTGTGAATTACCAGATTGACATGAATGGTGGTAAAAGGCCATTGGAAGATGACAGGGAGGACGAATTGGTCCCTAGGAAGTTTTCAAGGCAATCTGATGATATAGTAGATACCGATCTAACCCTAGGCGGGGCTCTATCGTCCCCGGTTGAGGACATTTCTTCAGAAGATAACTCTCTAGTACCCGGAATTGGGAGAGACAATGCCATTAGCTGTCTAATCCACTGTTCAAGGTCCGATTACGGCAGCCTTTCGGCCGTAAACAGAAGCTTCCGGTCATTAATAAGGAGTGGGGAGATCTACAAGTTGAGACGCATGAACGGTGTGGTTGAGCATTGGGTTTATTTTTCCTGCAGCCTCCAAGAATGGGAAGCTTTCGACCCGAACCGACTCCGTTGGATGCGGGTCCCGACCATGAACTCAAATGATTGCTTTCTTTTTTCGGACAAGGAGTCGTTGGCGGTTGGGACGGAGCTACTCGTGTTTGGAAAGGAGTTAATGTCGCAAGTTATTTACCGTTATAGCCTTTTGACAAATTCGTGGTCGTCTGGGATTCAGATGAAGGATCCCAGGTGCTTGTTTGGATCTGCCAGCCAGGGTGGGATTGCGGTTTTCGCCGGTGGCTGTGACACACAAGGCAAGATCATGAGCTCTGCCGAGATGTACAATTCGGAAACGGGGATTTGGACGCTATTGCCAAACATGAACAAGGCCCGAAAGATGTGTTCCGGGGTACTCATGGACGGGAAGTTCTACGTGGTGGGCGGGGTCGGTGGGCCCGACTCGAAGCCCTTGACGTGCGGGGAGGTATACGATTTCGAGAAAAGGACGTGGACGGAAATACCCAACATGTCCCCGGTCCGGCCGCCCGCGGGCCGGGAAAACGGAGTTCCGGCCACCGCCGAAGCACCGCCTCTTCTTGCGGTTGTGAATGACCAATTGTACGCCGCGAATTCCGCCGACATGGAGGTGAGGAGGTACGACAAGGCCAACCAGGTTTGGGTGACCGTGGGCAGGCTGCCCGAACGGGCAAATTCGATGAACGGTTGGGGCTTGGCTTTCAAGGCTTGTGGCGACCGACTCCTCGTCATCGGTGGGCCCAGGACCGTCGGCCAAGGGTTCATTGAAGTCAACTCGTGGGTCCCGAGCGAAGGGCCGCCGCAGTGGAACGTCCTCGGCCGGAAGTTATCGGGCAGCTTTGTTTATAACTGTGCTGTGATGGGTTGCTAGAGGAGCTGTGTTTATAATACTCTTGATGCCTCCTTAGAAAACACACCAAAAAAGATAGATTTTTGAGGCAATTTGGGTGGGTATTTATCTAATCTTTTCCTACATAATTTTTTTTTTCTTGAAAACAAAAGAAAAAAAATCCCTTCAAATATTTAGTTTTCTTTAATATAGAGGGATGATTACCAATCAGTACACTCAAGCTCCAACACCATATTTGTCTTAAAGGAATCTTTGAGTGGAAAGATTATATACTTTCAACATCTGCAATTTCATTTTAATTAATCCCATTGTTGTAATTCCCTTTCCCTTTTCATTGTCTTGGTAACATGAAATCTCAGTTGCAGGTTCATAATAACTTGATTAATGTTTGTTCAAGTTCTCCAAGAATTGTAGTTTTTTTAAATTATATTTTGGCATTGTCAAGGATGAGAAGAATAAGATTCTTGGCAAGTGACTTGTCAATGTGTAGTGGAACATCTTTGTTTGTGAAAAGGATGTGTTATAGGAACACATATTTGAATTGAAGTGTTTTGGTTCAAAGTTCTCTCTATGTAAGAAGCTCTTTTTTTAGTTGTTTGTTTGATCTAGTTATTGTGCTAATAGGAAAATAAAATGCTTGTTAATGAGACTTGTATCTTTTCATTAAGCCATCTTGTATTCTACTTTCCAATTTTTAATTTTAAGTCCATCTTCTAAGCCGGTGGGTGTTGCGCAATTGATAAGAGTGCAATGATAAGAATGTCACTGAATTACGTAGTATTTGTTTTTGTTTAAAATGCAATTACTTTTTATTTTATTTCAATAATGTCATTGGATTCTCTAAAATGTTCAAAAGTATAACTCAAGTACCAAAATGCTTGCTAATGGGACTTGTATCTTTCAATTAAGGCCAATTCCACCTTTCCATTTTTGCTTTAAGTCTCTCTGCTCGGCAGGCATTGCACTGTTGAAAAGGCAAGTGGTGCACATGGCTATTACTCGAGTTGGATTTCCGATAACTACACTACAAGGCAAATATACTAAGTATAAAACTCTACAAGTACTAGATGGTGCACATTCTACTTTTTACCACTAATATGTAAATAAAACCCAATTTACCAGTCTCAAGTGAGTGTCCAACGTGACATGAAGGGCCTTCGGAGATGAAGTTCATTTTTTAGTTTTAAGTCTCTAGATTTCATTTTCTGGACTGAAATCTCCGGACACTATAATTATGAAATTCTAATGCTTTATTTTAACCATAATGTGAATAAATTCCATGTTAGTTAGCACCAGAAGTCTAAAAGTTTTGGTTTATCAATTTTCAAATCAAGTATTTCCCCATATACACCAAGTACACCATGATGTATAATAAATTAATAACACATTTTTATTTTATCTATACTCTGTAATATGGCAGTATATGCGTATATTATTTTAAACGAAAGAAATTGACGGTGACAAAAATCTCAACCCAAAAAGTATCAAGATATAATACTTTCACCGACAATAATTGACGATGAAAATGTCACTACTCACTTGTACGGGCAAATCCTTCGGTGCCTCTTCCAAAGTGGGGGTTTTAAAACCCTCCTCATGTGGTGCAATAAGAAAGAGACATATGGATATAATATTCAATCTATTTTAAAAACTTAAATTATTCTTGTTAATTCAATATTCGCCCCAATCAAAAATTGATTCATTTTTCTTTCCTTCAGCGCCATCATACGTTAACGCCATCTCCGTTAATTGTTTTGTGTCTCCATCTCCATCCAACCTAGCATCGTATTTTCTAGAAAACCGTCTCCATCGCCGCCGCTTTCGTTCAGAGTCAATATCTCCATCCAGCGCTATCGACGGATTTGTCCCTTCAAATTTAACCTAGATCAGCTCAAACTCTTGCTTTATTTCTCTCAATTTTCCTTCTATCAATTTTTCATTGATTAAATGTAATTCTTGTGACACTTACGAGTATTATGTTCTGAAATCTCGTTTTCTTGTTCCAAATATGTCTATTTCTCATTTTTAGTTTGATTTACACTATGAATTATTATTATTATTTTGTTAACAGCGGGTTAACGGAATAACGTGTTTTGTGTAACAAAATGAAAATTGAGATTATTTTTAGTGAATTTTTGTTTTTTATTTATTTAAATATTTATTTAAGTTTTTTGAAAAAACTTTCTACACAAATTTCTTTTTCCTTTTTTAAATACTATTCTTATCTTAGAAAAAATAAGTATAAAATATCAAATATAAAAAATAAGTATAAATATAATTATTTTAATTAACACAATATTGCAACCCATAATTTACTCAAATTGGTAATGAAGAGTACAACTTTGTGACCAAAATGGATTGCATGTTGGTGCCAAAAAAATGATAAATAAATATTGAAAAAAAGTTTGTGCCCTGTGGATGATTTCTTCTTCTTGCCCAAATGTTCAAATTTCTAGAAGTGGTTTGATTTTTGTTTCTTTTCTCCCTTTTGCATTTCTTGGATTATTTTATTTATCAATTGCTATTTTTTCACGGAACGATCTAATTTCTTGATGTGCACATATATGGGTAATATTTATGGCTTATTAGCTGGCTGCTTGGCACCACTTCATTCGTGACAATATATATACTATTATCCTCCCAAAATAAAAGATTCATACTACACTATATAATGATAGTGTGAATTTGGTTTTAATTATTTTATTTTAAAATTGGTGTATAAATAAAAAAATGATTTTTACATGTTTATAAATTAAATAAAAAATCTACAAAAGAAGAAGTGACATTATTATTTTGTTAAATATCGATGAAAACATGTAAAGAAAAAAAATATATAATTCGACTACCAAAAGAGTGGTTGTGTCTTTTATATTGAGATAAAAAATCATCATATATTCTATTGGTCCCAAGATTTTCTCAACGATTTAGTTTGATGAACTTTTCAAATCCAAGATGGTGATTTATTTATGAATTGCTCCAAAAATGTAAAATCTCCACCTAAAAGTTAGGGTGTGTTTGTTGAAATTTCTGTGAACTAAATGTATCAGACGGGGTGTCAGGTAAGATTTGACAATTTTTTCACATATAAAATTCGATCAAATCCACTTTCTAATCTAAATATCAAAGCCAATGATAATGTTTCACCTTTTTTGTTACTACCTCCGTCCCATTTTAAATTGTCTGTTTGCCTTTTTTCTCCGTCTCAAAATAAGTTGCCTGTTAGTTATTTTCGTAAACTTTTAAAAATAAAATACCTAAACTACCTTTAAAATAAGTCAATCTTCTCCACATTATATTCTCATTCATCATCATCCATCCTAAAAAGTATTGACAATTTCGAAAAATCAACTCTATTTTTAATTTTCATTAAATATGTCCAAAAGTCAAAACGGACGATTTAAAACGGGGCGAAAGGAGTATATAAGAGTAATACTAGGCATTTAATTTTGATTATTCTGGTGTGGGATAATCAACAGACAAAACCCAAGAGGATTAGAGAATATAAACTTAAATAATGTTGTTTATTGGAGTCTTGCCATCAACATATGTACTCCCTTTGTCCCAAATTATAATGCATGTTTACTATTCACAGGGTCAAACTTTATTCACTTTCTTTCTCTATTTTCGTTAGCAATTTGATAAAATAAAATATAGAAATCATCCATTATAGCACCTTTAAGTATTACAAAATACATATATAGCACTCCCATTCCATTTTCAACATTTCTAGCACCTCCAACGTTTTTCATCTCTCTAATATTCCCAATTTAACCCTGCATTCTTTATCCTCAACCTGCGGTTACCACTTTCCTGCATTTCCCCTTCACCTGCGCATTTTGAGGAGGGTGTTAATCACCAGCCGTTACAACCCCATTGCCTATTACAACGCTCTCCAACGATCCAACGATGGTCCTCACTATTCCTCCCCCAAAACCAGAGAATCGCCGGTTGTACCACATCATACACGGTAGGCTTCACCTTCCCCAATCCAATTCCCAAGAGTATCGCACCATTGCAATTGAGTTCCGCGGAGACTCGGCTGAAGCTTTCACAGCTCCCAACCAACCCCGGTCAGTCAAGTTCCTTCTGAATTTGCTTATATCTATCATATCCGTGAGTAGGGTTTGTGTTCTTATTATTCTCCATTGTTAAGCTATTGTTAACCCTGCTTCTCTTTAAGCCAATTTAATTAGGCAGTGCTCCTTCTAAATGTAAAAGATCAGATTTTTCTATTTAATATTCTACTAATTCTTATGACCTAACAATGCCCCTCGAATTAATTGTATTTCAATTTTAATAAATATGGGTCTCTGACTGTAACACCCTAATCCGTCCAGGTCTGCAGCCCCTTTGGGACTAAAGTATTTAACTTGGTAATCGTAAAAATTTAAAACTTTTCAAACATTTTTATTTATCATAATAATATTTTTCATAACACATACAGTACGGAGTATTCAACAATATTGCAGAAGCGAATTTAATTTTGACATATCATAAATCATTTCAAACTTGTCACATCCATCCCGACAATCTCGCCCCATCTGCCGCCAGAATCACATTAATCTTTCTATTTACCTGCGTATAGCAAATAAAACACACTACACGCTCAGCGGTAAAGCTGAGTAAGCATATCTAATGCGTCGAACATCCATATAAACTGAATCTAAATTCATAATCAAATCTTTTTGATATCATGCACACAAGGTTTGTTTCAGACATTCACAGTTTTGATATTATTCAGTTCATATCAACACATTTTATTCAATTCAGATACTATTTCAATAGTGCTCTTAAATTATTCTTAATCTAAGGCCAGATCATAACAACGCTCTTAGCTATTCTTAGTCTAAGGCCAGATCATAATAATGCTCTTAACTATTCTTAGTCTAAGGCCAAATCATAATAAT